GAAGCTTGACATAGATTTTGTGGTTTCGACGGGCGATAACTTTTATGATAATGGATTGGCAAGCGAACATGACACAGCATTTGAGGAGTCATTTACCAAAATCTACACAGCAAAGAGCCTGCAAAAGCAGTGGTACAGCGGTAAGTTCCAAATTTCCAATACTCGAAAGAAAGCTTTTAGTTACAAAAATTTCAATAAATTTGTTTTTGACTTTGATAACTTTGAATGCAGTGTTGGGCAACCATGACTACAGGGGTGATGCAGAGGCTCAACTGAGCCCTCTTCTTAGGAAAATTGATAGCAGATGGATTTGCTTGAGGTCTTTCATTGTCAATGCAGGTGAGCATATATTATACATACTCTTTGAGTATCAGCTTTTCTACACAAGAAATTGATATCTGTAAGACTCAATCATAACATAAGCAATTTCTTCCTATATCTTTTTCCCCAGAATTAGCAGAGATTTTCTTTGTGGACACAACTCCTCTTGTCAATAAGTACTTCACAAACACAGAGGACCATACTTACGATTGGCGAGGCATTACCTCTCGCAAGGATTATATTGCAACCTTATTGAAGGTCTATAATATATATAATTGATTTTCTGCTACCATTTTGAATTTTGAGTATCTTTCTTACCTAAAATGTGCTTAATCATTGATGATGCTTATTAATATAAATAATGATGTAATAGGATGTCGAGTTTGCACTGAAGAAGTCGTCTGCAAAGTGGAAGATAGTTGTTGGTCACCATGCAATTAGAAGTGTTGGGCATCATGGTGATACAGAGGAACTTATAAAGCAGCTTCTCCCAATCCTTCAGGTATATCTGTCAAAGCTTCCAATTCTAAAGCAAGGGGTTAATTTTATGCTGCTTTCTTGTTGAGATGAATGGATGTAAAATAGATGCTAACTCTGCTAAATCCTTCATAAATCTTAGGCCAATGATGTCGATTTTTACATGAACGGGCACGACCATTGCCTAGAACACATCAGTGACACAGAAAGGTAAGTTCAATTCAGGCGTTTCTTAAGAATGGAAGAGTTTGTACGTGCAACTAATGCTGATTGAAACTGGATTTGTTGCAGCCCAATACAATTTCTAACAAGTGGAGCAGGGTCCAAAGCATGGAGGGGAGACGTTAAGGGGTTGAACAAAGAAGGGCTCAACTTCTTTTATGATGGTCAAGGCTTTATGTCTGTGCAGTTGAATCCCACGGATGCAGAGATCGCTTTTTATGATGTTTTTGGCAAGGTTTTACATAGATCGCATTCTTCCAAGCAGCTTCACCCATCTATATAAATTAAGTTTTGTAGCTCCAGCCTAGAAGCCTAGAGGGAAGATATTATAGCTTCAGATTCAATGCAGCCGCATATAATATATATTATAGATTGTTGCCAGGACGAAGATTCAATTACCAAATGTTATTATTTTTAATTAATGTACCTCATTTGGCTGCATCCTTAATTACCAAATTGGTTGATTTTTTCGACCACTACAGTTATATATGCCAAGCTTATATTGCTCCATACAAGTACAACATTTTAAAAAAAACAAGGAAACCCAGATTCAAGCTGCTTCTCAAATATGTTATCTGGATACAAACAAACATAACTAAGGATGTGTTTAGCAGAAGTTTCTGCCAACTGATCCATTCCTGCGTGGCAAACAACTATAAAGACAAAATTAAGCCAAGAAATATATGGTACATTTTCTAAGACTAAGACACGCCAATAAATCAAGAGGGTAACATGATACGTAGTGGTGATTTAATTTGAAACTTCGGCTCCATCAGCCAAGTTTGTGTCTTCAGGCTCAGGACAGAGAGATAGGATTCTCCGCTGGCTCCACTTATTGTCACCTAATTGCCAAAGGACCAAAACCTGGAAGACAAAAACAAGATTTAGGAAATTGCTAGGAAACTGATAAGAAAGAAACCCTAGCCAGGATGGGACCCAGAGTTACCGCAAATTTACTGCACTCCCCTGCAGATATGCGGCCCACTGCTGCTGTATCTTAAAATGGATCGGTGGGTCGACGTAGCATTCACTTTCGTTTGCATTGCATGTTATGTTTACATTTGTGTATGGGACATCTTAAAATTAGAGTTTAAATATTGCACTATATATGTGGTCTTTAGATCATTAATTATCACCTACTGTGTGTTTGTACAACCACTGAGAAGAATTAGCCTATATATACACACTCAAATTCAAAAGTTTCATCATAGTTTCAACCATCTCTGCTTTCTCTCTCTCTCTCTCTCTGCTCTCTCTCTCTTGCATCATAGTTCCAAATCAGAACATTGGTTGATTTCGATCATTAACCATATCCGGCCATGTCCATGGGTTTCCTGTGGCTGTGGGTGGTTATTTGCATGAACAATATTATTTGGTTGAGCTTTGTTTCTGTGTCGACAGCCGAGCTTCAGCGATTTGAGCACCCTGTCAAAGCCGATGGGTCACTTAGCTTTTTGGCGATTGGTGATTGGGGTAGAAGGGGTGCTTACAATCAATCTCAAGTAGCTTATCAGGTTTTATAATATCTCTTCACTTCATCCATTTTTATCAATCTTTACTACAAAACAAACTAGACTCCACAGACTTTTCTTCTCTTTAATCTGTTTATCAATATGTTTATCATAGACAGACTCTTGATCTCTTCTATCTACAAAGTTTCTTAGTTTCCTTATAATTAAGCCTCGTTTGGTTCTTAATTAACAACAGAGAAAAGATTGTATTTGCTACTTATATAATACAATTAATTATAATTTATAAGGGAACTGTATGCTTAACTTGGTAACTTAATTTCCTTCCCCGCCTTAAATTTTCACGGTTTAATCATGTTTTCTTTAATCTCCAGTTGATTTATATTTTCCACACAACCTCCACAAGGAATAGTAGTATATATTTCTGTTCTTTTTATGTGTTATGTGTTTCTTTAACATACTGAAATAGTCTTGATGAGAAGCTCTCGCGCGCTCTCTCTCTCTCTCTCTCTCTCTCTCTCTCTCTCTCTCTCGCTGCAAGCTAATTAAGAAGCTGCAGAGAAAAGGCACCTCCGAACGAACAGCTTTGTTCCTGTGCTAGCTGCATGATATGCATGAAAAGTTTCGTCATTAGCAGGACGGATTAACTTTTTCTTTTTGAACGGGATCATTCTTTTTCACTTGGCATATTCCGCAAAAGTAAAGGACAAATGTGAATTGTGTTGCATGTCCAGAAGCCATTATGTTCCAACAACTCATCACCTGCTGCTCCATGCGTGTCACCCTCTTTTTACTGCTCTTTCTACTTGTTTCGGTAATTAGGTGTCCACACCAGGAGCAGGACAAATATTTTGAGATGGGATTTCAGGTTCAGATTTTGCCGACGAATAAATACAAGCCATATGATATGTTGCAGCACAGGGATAACATTCAGCTCTTTCTTTCCAGAAAAAACGATGAGAAAGAAACAAAGAAAGAAAAATTATTTACCTGTGAGAGAGTTTTATTTTTTGTTTTTTTATTTTTTGTTGGTTTGATAGGCATCATCCTAAAGTAAACTAAATACAATTGGAATTTTAACTGCATCCATAAACTTGGAATTTATTGGAAATCGTCCTTGGGAGTATCAGTATGTGGCCTGGGATTTTCTTCTTTGTTGGTTTAGTGGTGCTCTGTTTCCTCTGTTTCCAAGGGGGGCAGGGGATTTCTGGAGGACAGTAGACAATAATGTTGCGGTGTTTTGCAATGAATTGTAGATGGGAGAGATTGGAGCCAAATTAAACATAGACTTCGTGATCTCTACTGGGGATAATTTTTACAACAGGGGATTGACCAGCGTAAAGGACCCTGCGTTTGTGGAGTCGTTTACTGAAATCTACACTGCTAAGAGCCTCCAAAAGCAATGGTATATTGGTGAGTTCAGTTGCACTCAAAACTGACTCTCTTCTCATGGAAATTGGCATAGGCATAGCGCTGACTTTGTTTTCCATCTTTTCTCCTTCACTTTGATTCTGGGGAACTCTCAGTTCTTGGCAACCATGACTACAGGGGAAATGCTTTGGCCCAATTGAGCCCAGTCCTTAGGAAGATCGACAGCCGCTGGCTTTGCCTCAGGTCCTTTCTTGTTAACACAAAAATTGCAGACTTCTTCTTCATCGACACCAATCCTTTTGTGGACAAGTACTTTCTGAGGCAAAAGCACTACCAGCATGACTGGAGAGGTGTGCTTCCTAGGAAACAGTACCTCTCCAACCTCTTGAAGGTTCTTCTCATCATCTTCCACATTACAACATTGGATCCTTTCTACCATCATATTCAAACAGTGCTTTTCATTGTCAAAATCTAATACATTGCTTTTGTTTTGGGAACAGGATTTAGATTGTGCATTGAGAAATTCTTCTGCAAACTGGAAAGTTGTCGTCGGACATCATACAATCCGAAGCATAGGGCATCATGGAGACACCAAAGAAGTAGTAGACCAGATTCTTCCCATTCTAGAGGTAACTTAGCCTTCATATATTTCATATATATTTTTGTTTAGTTTTTATACAATCGAATCTATTCGTATTCTTATTATGATTCAGGCAAACAACGTTGATGTGTACATAAATGGACACGACCACTGCTTGGAACACATAAGCAGCACCAACAGGTAAACATAGCTTTAACCGTTACTAGTTCTATTTATCAATAAATTGAATTGTTTCTTAAAAATCTCACTAGTTGAAGTTGTTTATGCAGCCAAATCCAATTCTTGACCAGTGGTGGTGGGTCGAAAGCATGGAAGGGTGACATTAAAATGAAAAGAGATGGGTCCAAGTTTTACTATGACGGGCAGGGTTTCTTATCTGCACAATTTACAGAGACTGATGCAGAATTTGCATTCTACGATGTATCTGGCACACTTCTACATCGTCTTAATCTATCCAAGCTTCTTTACGATTCCATGTAGAGATGTCAAGATAGACTCTCCCCTAAGCTCTCTCTATGAAATAAGATGACCACGTTTTATATTCTTGTAACTTCTTGTATCAATGAAAAATCCTCGCCACGCAAACAGAAAAATTACACAAAGTTTCAAAACCCCGCAAAATGGTCCGGCTCCACACTTGAGATTAACGTAATAAAATCCTACCTATTTCTCCACACAGCACGGACATAGGCAAATCTTGAACAGTTTATATATACACAGCAATTAGCACCAAATACAAATATTTGGTATTTTCACTAGGCCTACAGTCAATATCCCATTATGGTATGTAATATTGTGCCTCCACACGCACTACCAAGTCTGCAAGGGTAGGATCTTCACTCAACATAATTTAGTTTGTAACAAAATGATACCTGGAATCCACATAGCTCTCAACATCCCAAAGAAAAGAACCAAAAGTCACGGCTTCCAGAACAAGTCTCCTCAAACCACCAAAGCTAATTTTGACGTGATCATCCTTGGAAGAATCAACAGTCCCCTGAGGTGTTATGACAATATCTGGTCTTCCAAACAATGCCTCGGTGTGCTTTTCAATGATGCTAACAGCCTCTCTCGATCTAATTGTTGCATACCTATGAAGGGTCTCTCCATCAAAAGACATCACATAGGTCCGCAAGCGGGATGGCTTAATTCCATTACCAAAACCCCCAGCACCGATGCCTCCAGCCGAGGAAGTGACTTCAGGATGGGAAGCCCCTGCTTGCAAAGACTCCTCTTCACCACCAGGCCTCATGTCCTCCCCCACGGATTTCTGAACATTACTGTCTTCGGCACCCAGTGCATTTGGAAGGATCTTTACTGTCTTCTCCAGCTGAAACCTCTGGTCAACCCGCTTGAGGAAGTACCCATACATTACAGATGCTGCATAAACCTGCCCAACTCTGAGCTTGCTTATCTGTGCTAAAGAGGCTGAGTCACCCAACCGATTTCCTAGGATGAGAGCTAGGTGGTTCTGGATCATCTCATAGGCTTCAGGTGAATGAAGTTGCTCAAGCTTGTCCTCTTCACTTGGCCATGTATCAACTCGACCAGAAAGGTCTGAAGCAGATGGGGTAAGGGCAGGTATCAAAGAAACATTAGCATCCATGAATTTTTGCACCACCAAAGTGTACAAAATCTCTTCAAGAGCCTTTCTCCTTTCAGTAGCCTTAACCTCGGCAATTCTCCTGATGTTGCAGAATAAGTTAATAAAGGATCAATATATCTCTTCAAAACTACATTTATCTATTTAGTCCCATATAGCAAATGATGGAGGAGGCGAGGGAAGGTTAAATCAAAATAATAATAAAAACTGCAAGTTCTGTTTCTTTATTTTTCTTAAATAAAAAAAATCTTTTCATCATGTCATTTTCTAGATTGTTAAGAACAACAGAAACTTTCTTGCTAAAATAACACAAAAAGGTCAAACTTTTCCCTCCCTTTATAATGATATTCGTATGAAAACAAAACATTTAACTTATGGTTCAATTTTGTAGCTTAGCTTGACTTAATTGAAAACACAATTGGCTATTCCTCAATCGCAAGATTGCAACAAACCTGTACAAAACGAGGTCAGTGCCAGAAGCAGAAGGCTCTTCCTGCTTTTGCTCAGTGTCGCGATCTGTTTGAAGCTGTTCAAGCTGCTGCTCAACTGCACTAGGCACAAGATGCGGGTGGCTTATCATTATCTGAGAGAGGAACTGTCCAATTGGTGACTCCAGCTGAAGTGGGGCAATTGGAGAAGTAGAACCTGTTGAGTCCGGAGATGGAGATGCAGCTGCTGCCCTAACGACCAAGCATCTCCTACTTCCAAAGCCCATTCTCCTATGACCCACCTTTGGTTGAGAGATTGAAAACTGGTGCTGCTAAACATGAAATAAGATTAAATATTACTCAACTGCAACTCCAAGCTCACCAATCCAATAAACAAAATGAGGGTCCATCTGTCACAACTATAAATATTCTGAAAGAGTTGAAAGAAAAATCAATCCAAAACCCTCAAGTGTTCCGGAAAGGAGTCATCTCCTACCTCCAAACCCGTTCTTTGTGTATCAATCTAAAAAAGATATGTGCTCTTTTCTCTTTTATGTCTGGACAGACATTAAAGCTTATGCTACAAACAACACAATCTAACCACACCAACTAAAAGTCCTACACTCCTAATCAAGATTTAATGTTTCACTATTTAACAGAAACCCTAGAATTCTCATCAATTACCAGATCAACTTATTTCTCGCGACACACTCGGGATCATGCATATTGTATAGACCCAAAACCCCAAACCTACCGAGCATATTAGAAATCGCATTAGGAAACCAAATCCCAAACCCAAAAAGAAGTACCTTGATTGAGAAGTGAAATCCAGGACTCAAACGCAGAAAACCGGCGGGACCATTGGCCGCCAAATTACCCGATCTGCCAATTGAATTGGAAGGCCTAAAGGCCGCGATTGATGATTGGAAAATGCTCGCTGTGGCTGCTGCTTCCATCTTCAGCTCTGCTAACCCAACCCTATGATTTATGATTAAAACTGACAGGAAGATGAAAATCTGATTCTTTTTTGCTTAACAATGAATACCTAGTTAGCAAAATGGGAATTCAACAGGACTTGTGGAATTCATACCAGCGAGCAAAATTTATAGACAGAGAGAGAGCGTCTGCGTGGTGCAAAATTACCAATTTTTATATTTTGTGACCCTCCTTTATCCTCCATCTGGAAATAGAGACAAAATAATGGGAAAATAAATAAAAAATTATGTGCATTATTATTTCTTTTGTGTGGGTAAATAGGGGCCAAAGCCAAACAACTTTTCCAACTATACATTATTATTATTTTTGGTAGAGAATATCCCAAGTTTTTTTATTTATTTTTTATTTTTATAGCAGGAGAATATCCTAAGTTTATGACTATTTTGGTCGGATTTAGTTTTTATCCTGGTAGAGAAGCTCCTAATAAGTTTATATTCTAAGTGCAAAAATATAAAAACATGGCTTTCTTAGGATTTTCCAGTTTCATGGCTTCACCGAACCTTGTAGAATAACACTAAAAGCTCATTTGAGAGTAATTTATAATAAATTTTAATTACTTATGGGAAGAAGCACTTCCCATTTCATTGAGATGATTTCATTGGAAATACCCCAAGGCCAATCTTCGCGATATATCCAGAAACCCAAATAACGATAGAGCATTGAGGGCCCACTTGGGAGTTCCAAGTGATTATGTTGGATTGCGTCCTCTTGTGAAAAATTGAGAATCACATTTTCTTTGTAACTCAAAAACAAAAAATCATCTGTGTCTTTGTTTTGTTGGGGCTGCGGCCTCCATTGAATTGCATCGACTGGACTTGTTTACAGCCATTGATTTCTAATTTAGCCCAATTTGCTTTTCTTAAATTTCTTATTTTGGTTATATGTTACAAACTTACGAGTGATAGCCTAACGAGCCACGCGTCCCACTTATAGTGGAGCTTTATTTTTTTCGTATATATATTTTAGATAGGGAAAAATGCATTTTGATGATAGTGACTTTTTTGAAAATACAAGGGAGGTTTAGGGGGTGTATTCAAATGAGATTTTAAAAGATTATTTAAGAATAAAAGAATTTAGTGGATTTAATCAGAATGTAACGACATATAGGATTTTACCTTGGGCCACTTTAAGTCTGTTCCTCCTTGATAAAGCATCACTTAATAGCTTTGAATCATGAGTTGAACCCTTTCACCCGCTAAGAACGTAAATGAATTCCAAATCAAAGTTACAAGCTGCTAATACATTTTGTGATATCTTTTCATAGCGATCACGATAGCTGCTTGCATCTCGTCCCTCATGTACCATCAATAGCTCTGATGCAATCCTAAAATTATTCATAAGTAAATATAACCATATTATGAAAAATACAAATTATAATAATGACAATATTAATATAATTAGATAATCATCACATACATTGAAATAAGGGTAAAATCTTATGCTTTTCTTTATTTTAGCGGGCACAGCCGGTCCTGGTTTAGCCATCAAATCGTATGCTATTGAATTCAAGGCCTTTAAAATATTGTGAAAATTTTCACTTGTAGCGAATTGTGATTGGCTAAATGTATTACGAGTTACGTAATATCTAGTATTTTGGCCAATGATTTGTAGAAACACTGCAAGCATTTCTTTAACACAAATAAATTTTGTATCCTCCAAAAGTGTTTTTTCTCTAAGAATATTGCATAATTAACTTCTGAAATACATATGGATACATTCTATATACTTGCTGGAAGATTGCAAGATCATCATTCAATGTTGATGTATATAGTCATATCCAATGCTAGTAATTCATTGTCGAGTTAGTGGACGTTCAATTTGTTCACCATGCATCATAATCAGAAATTGATTTAGTACATGTATTACTGCATAAATTGCCATCACTAAAATATTAATGGCTTCATAAAATTCTTCATCCAATTATTCTTCATTTATTTCGTCTTCCTCTATTTCTTCGTCATCAATTTCTTCTTCTTCTTTGTCATTACCTTCATACATACTTACGTATATGAAAATATATATATATGAGACTACAAAACAATAAAAAATATGACATTATACATAATATTCAGTTATCATCTAGCTTAGCAAGTTGTGTGATGGAACCCATTCCAAACAAATTTTATGTCAAAAAAGGATGATGGTACTTGGTTAATCAAACACAACCAAGCAATACTAAGAGCTGCGCGGCTATACTTTTAAAATATTCTATGTATGGAGTATAGCATACTATTAAATATAATATTTTTCATGGGGTATAGCCACGTTGCTATACTATTAAATACACTATTTATGGCATATAGCCGCGGCTATTAAAATCTTCTATGTATGGCATATAGCCACGTGGCTATACTATTAAATATACTATTTTATGGAGTATAGTCGCGCTGCTATACTCTTTAAATATATTTCCAACAATAAAAATCTTGATTTCACTGTAGCAAAGCTGTGCCTTGAGATAATGAATCAATTAGACATGGTACGTATTTACATTATAGCTTTGTTCCCTAGTATGTGCTTGTGGTTGAGGGAAAATTTATGCATTTTGTGTGTGTTGCATGTGCATGAGCAATGATATAAAGAGGTTGATTATCTTTTTAGGTGCCCTTTGTCATATTTCCTTAAATAAATTCAAATATTCGAACCGCATAGCCTAGCGGCTATACTATTTAAATATATTATGTTTTAATATAAAAAAATAAAAAAACAAAAACAAAGTTCGCAAAATAATTTAAAATAATTAATTACCATTTATTAAACAAAATATTTAAATATTAACTAAAGAAATAATAATTAAAACATAATTACTAATTAAAATAATTAAAAAAGCTAAGATATTACCTAATCACACATATTAAACTAAAGAAGTTGACAAAAAAAATAAAATAAAGAAACTAAAATTAGATTTTTTTATTTAATTTTTTTAAAAAACCTCTCCCGACGAAACTTTCTCGGCACAAATATATGCCGACAAATATTTTCTGGATTAGACCTCTCCCGAAGAAACTAACATCTACCGACGAACATTCTAATTGGCAAATTTGCGCCGGGATAGACCTATACCGACGAAAGTTCGTCAAGAGAGATATTTTTGAAAATAAATATCAATTTAGTAATTAAATAAAATCTTAGCTTTATTTAATTACTTTTATTAGTAATTATATTTTAATTATTATTTCTTTAGTAAATAATTAGTATTAAATATTTTAATTAACTTCATAAATTATATATTACTTAATAAATAGTATTGAATTTTTTTAAATTTTCTCTTTGATAAAATATTTAAATACTAATGATTCAATAAGTAAATAATAATTAAAACATAACTACTAATTAAACTAATTAAAAAAGCGAAATCAAGATTCTGCTATTTTATGAAGCATTTTATTTATGTAATATAGCCGCTATATGTTAAAATATATGGAGTCTAGCCGCGTGGCTATACCGTCAGAATATTCTATTTATGGCGTATCGCCGCGCGGCTATACCTTTAAAATATTAGATGCAGGGAGTATAGCCGCGCGTCATTACTTTTAAATTATTCTATGTATGCGGTATAGCCGTTCGGCTATACTATTAAATATACTATTTCATGCTGTGTGGCTGTTCGGTCTACTGGCAAAATATTCTTTTTTTAGCGTATAGCCGCACGGCTATTCAATTATACTGTTTATGGATATAGCCGCGCGGCTAAACCATTAAATATACTATTTTTGGGTTATAACCGCCCGGCTATACTATTACAGTATTCTATATATGGAGCATAGCCGCCGGCTAGACGATTAAATTTATTATTTATGAGTTAGAGCCGCGCGGCTATACAATTAGAATATTCTCTGCTTGGAGTATAGCCGCCCGGCCGTACCATTAAATATACTATTTTATGGAGTATACTGTATAGCAGCACTGCTATACGTTTGACAATACTATTTGCTTGAAGAGAAAATAAATTGACAATACTGAAGAAGTTCAAAAAACCCACGCAGCCCCAGCCCCCGACGTCGTCGTATTGTGAATCGGATAGAGAAAGAGTTCACAGTGGTGTGTTCAGTGTCTGCGATGAAGTTCCGGTACGCGATGGTGTGTTCGTCGAACCAGAACCGAAGCATGGAGGCTCACTCGCTCCTCAAGAGGCAAGGCTTCGACGTCTCGTCTTACGGCACTGGTGCCCACGTTAAGCTCCCTGGTCCTTCCCTCAGAGAACCCAACGTTTACGACTTTGGAACTCCTTATAAGCAGATGTTCGACGATCTTAGGCGAAAAGACCCCGAACTGTATCCTCCTCTAAACTTTTTCTTCCTTCAATTTCATTCAATTAGGTTTTTCGATGCTTTGGGTTTTAGAGCCTGTGGGTCATGTCAATGGTCATAATCTAAGCGGTTCTGATTCCCCCTTTTTCTTTTAGTTCTTCTTGTAATTTTGGAGTTTTTAGTTTCTTATCTTGCTTTCAGTTCTGCCTGTAAGGGGTTATGGGTAATTGATATTTGAGTAATAAAAAAATTGCTTAAATTACCAAGAAAACATTAAAAATAAAAAGATCATCTTTGCACCTTGAATTCATAAGGTTTGGGTTTCTTATATTCGAGCTGGACTAGTATGTAACTAAGATTGTAGGCTTATAGCTTCAAGATTCGGCAATTAAATGGGCAGTCTGATAATTTCTGGGCAATGAAATTATCCTGTTGAATCTTATGTATAATTCGATTGGTTGCTCTCAATAACAATAGTTCAATTTTTTAGGACTTATGAATTGAAATGTATGTGCGTACTCTGGATTGTGAGCTGTGTTTTTTTCATTTAAAAGCAAAGTGAAACCTTGACAGCAAGAGTACAGGTACAAGCGTAATGGCATTTTGCCTATGCTTAAAAGAAACTCAACGGTCAAACTGGCACCTCAGCGGTGGCAAGATAATGCTGCTGATGGTTCCTTCGATGTGGTATTTACATTCGAAGAAAAGGTTTTTGACATGGTTCTTGAAGGTTGGTAATACTCCCTTCTGCTATTTATGGCTTGCATATTATGGGTTTCAATAGTACAGCACTCTGAAAATGAAATAATTGAATGCTGTTCTTTCCTTTGCTGTTTTTTGTTTCTTGGCAATCTCTATCAATTGAGCTGTTGGAATATG